GTATGAATAAGGATTAGATTTAACGAATGGCTAGTACAAGGTATGAATAAGGATTAGATTTAACGAATGGCTCGCACTAGGTATGAATTAGGATTAGATTTAACAAATGGCTAGCAACAAGGTATGAATAAGGATTAGATTTAACGAATGGCTAACACAAGGTATGAATAAGGATTAGATTTAACGAATCTAATCCTTATTCATACCTTGTGTTAGCCATTCGTTAAATCTAATCCTTATTCATACCTTGTGCTAGCCATTCGTTAAATCTAATCCTTATTCATACCTTGTGCTAGCCATTCGTTAAATCTAATCCTTATTCATACCTTGTGCTAGCCATTCGTTAAATCTAATCCTTATTCATACCTTGTGCTAGCCATTTGTTAAATCTAATCCTTATTCATATCTTGTGTTAGCCATTCGTTAAATCTAATCCTTATTCATACCTTGTGCTAGCCATTTTTTAAATGGCTAGCACAAGGTATGAATAAGGATTAGATTTAACGAATGGCTAGCACAAGGTATGAATAAGGATTAGATGCTACTTGCTTTTTAATTCTTCCTTGAAATTCCGAATATTTTCCAGTCATATTTGAAGCATTATCGTAGGTTTGCCCTCTACAGTTTTTGATGTCTAGGTTTAACACTTACAAGGTATTTAACACAACTTCCCCTGAGTTTTCGGCAGTTTGAGATTTTATAGGAATAAATCAAAAATATGTTTCTTTTTTTTTTGTCCGTCTTTCCCAATATATCTTATTATAAAAATAAGTTGATCAGTATGACTTACGTCTGGTGTTTAATCAATAGTTATGGAAAAATAAAATGCACTTTTAACTTCGTTTGTCGGTGGACACAGCAGATAGCCCGATGTGGCTCTGCTATAAGAAAACACACAACTTCGTTTGTCGGTGGACACAGCAGATAGCCCGATGTGGCTCTGCTATAAGAAAACCACAAACACACAACTTCGTTTGTCGGTGGACACAGCAGATAGCCCGATGTGGCTCTGCTATAAGAAAACCACAAACACACAACTTCGTTTGTGAATTTAAGCTGAATCCGATTTGCCATTAATTTTATGAACTCATCACAAGTTTGATGTGACAAATAACTTGTATTTCCTTAACCTCGATTATGATAGCTTTCCAAATGATTTTTTAAATCATTAAATTAGCTATGATACTCAAGACAACTTAAATAATTTCCTGTTTGAATTTAAACATTCATCGTGGCTTCTAAGTCCCAATCCTAATTTAAACAGCAATTTTACATTAGCGACAACGCATATCGAAACCTTACGACAAAATATTTGTGCAATTTCATTTGTTTTCTCATTTCAGGATGAATACGACCGAAATTAGTACAAAGCCTTGAAAATTTGCACATAGCAGATATGTGGTCTTTATATCAATTTGCTACTACGTTTTTTCCATTCACAAAAACCTTTAATCAATTCGCTTGCAAATATTAGTTTTTATTTGGGAATAATTTACAAACGTAACGATACAGACATTTGCTTGAACTTTGTACTGCTACAGACAAGCCATTCACGTTTTTCTTTTTCATCATTCGTCTTTAGACCGTAAAAATGCTGTTCTTGCAAGCTTATAAAACAATTTCTCTCCAGTACTTTTGGGTTGATTTGTTATGTAATGGTCAATAACTTTGTCGGTAATTATATCCGGTCATTAAGCAATATTCTATGAGTAGTTAAATATTTTTCGATTTCAGCTTGATTTCGGATTTGATCATTACTGCTAGTCGAGGCTGTATTTATTCAATCATTACAAAATTCACCAGAATCTTCTTCGTTGGTTGTTTTCTCAAATGAGCTAATTCCTTCACACTCGGCCGCTTGGTGTTCCAGGAAACGAAAAATTGTACCAGTCTGATTCCGTAGACTTTTTCTTTGAGTTTTCGTTCTTTTATTTTTTGCACGGACTGATAAACCCTTTTCATTGTTCTACTGGACAATATGATTAGAAAATACACTTTCACAGTGATTTTTTGAAATATAGGTATTTAGTAATATAAATAGTTAGTAATATAGGTATTTGGTGATATAGATAGTTAGTAATATAGGTATTTGGTTATATAGATATTTAGTAAAATAGGTATTTGATTATATAGGTATTTAGTGATATAGATAGTTAGTAATATAGGTATTTGGTTATATAGATATTTAGTAAAATAGGTATTTGGTTATATAGGTATTTAGTAATATAAATAGTTAGTAATATGGGTATTTGGTGATATAGGTATTGAGTAATATAGGTATTAAACCAAATACCTATTTTACTAATATCTATATAACCAAATACCTATATTACTAACTATTTATCTTACTAAATACCTATATAACCAAATACCTATTTTACTAAATATCTATATAACCAAATACCTATATTACTAACTATCTATATCACTAAATACCTATATAACCAAATACCTATTTTACTAACTATTTATCTTACTAAATACCTATATAACCAAATACCTATTTTACTAACTATCTATATCACCAAATACCTATATAACCAAATACCTATTTTACTAACTATCTATATCACCA